GACCTGGCCCAGCTCGGGAGGGCAGAGGGAGAAGAGTCCCCAGCACTGCCCGCACTCCTCGCCCCGCGCCCCTCACTCGTTCCTGCAGCCTGGCTCCCCCTCCTGCCCCCGCTTCTCCCGGGCATTCCGCGGCTCCTCGGAGCGCTGCTGGCCCCGCCTCGTGCCCAGCGCATGGGCAGAAACCATTCCTGGGACTCCCGATGTCACCCAGCCCTTCCTGGGATTCCCGGTTTCACCCAAACCTTCCTGGGACTCCCGATGTCACCCAAACCTTCATGGGGTCCCCGGTGTCACCCAACCCTTCCTGGGATCTCCAGTGTTACCCAAACCTCCCTGAGGTGTCCGGTGTCCGCAAGCTTTCCTTGAATCCCCGGTGTCACCCGGCCCTTCCTGGGCTCCCCGGTGTCCCCAGCCCTCCCCTGGGACTCGTTTCTGCCCAGCACTGGCACCAGAGCTTCCCACAGCCCCGTGCTCCGGGACACAGCGTGCTGCCCCTTGGCTGCCCCTGCTCACACTGAATTACACCGCCAAAAATAAAATATTGGTTCATATATTGGATATATTGGAATATTGGATACAGCGGAACCATTGCCATAACATGAATAGAACATGAAACAAAATTGTCTAAAACTGATCGATATTGAATTAAAAACCAATACGAAATCCCGAACCCAGGGAGGTTTTGGTGTTCATTTGATCTCTGGAAGGAATTTCCAGACGAATCCATAGACAAAGGAAGGGACCTCAGGGGATGGGAACTCCAAACTCCTGCTCCAAGAGCTTTGTGCTCCAAGGGACCGAACCCTGCGCTCATTCCATGGCCTGGAGAGGACACGGGGCAATTCCCGCTGGGGGCGATCTCCTCCCTGGCCTGTAGCCACCAGCTCCAGCTGGCCAGCCCGGGTAAGCCGGGCCGTGAGCGGTGATCGCTGCCATTCCCTGCAGCCTGCAATGTGCCCGAGCAGCGCCGGCCCAGCCCGGGAGGTGATGTCGGCTTCGCTGCCGGCGCTGAGCATTGGGAAGAGTTTCTGCAGGAGCCTCGTGGCCCTTGGCCATGGGCAGCCCGGCTCTGGGGATGTCCCGCGGGGCCCGTGCTGGCACAGCAGGGCAAGCCGGGCGGGATGTGCTGCCCAGAGGCAGCGGGCTCTGCCATCCTGGGCTGGAACACACGGAGCCAGCCGTGCCCCGGCTCCGGGGACACTGCCCGGGCC